TTGTACATAGTTGAAGATATAAGAATATCTCACATCCTTTTGATAACCTTGTCAATATGTTTATTGTCTGTTACTTTGCCTATTTATTATTGTTAAAACATATAAATACACATATACATCTGTAAATGACATCAATTATCTAGTGTTCTGAGATCTTTTATTTTGCCTTGTTACAACTAATTCTAGATTAATTATATTTTATTGCTAGGTTTTTTTTTATGTCTTTTTATTTCTCACAATAGAATATATCTATGCCAAACATATAGAAAATGATCATCAAGATGAAACTCTTTCTGTAATTAATGCATACTTTGATTTATACTAGTCTTCAATCGATAATCGATGTCGTCGATTGTTCTCATTTTTTTTTTATGCTAATATTTTGTCGTTATATTCTCCTAAGTATGTTGTTGTCGTTGTGCAGAAGAAAAAACGAGAGAACATACCAGATTCAGCAGCATGATGTTACGAACTCTAATTGACCGTGTTCTTCCTCATTTATTCGACTCTTATGAGAGAGAAAGAGAAGAAGAAGAAAAAAAAAAGAAAGAGAGGAAGGATGTACGTATCAATCAATCATGATCTTAATCAGATAAGTACATCTGCTCGTGCTTCCGTCGATACAAGATAGAAAATAATTGTTTCATAAGAGCAATCCTGTCATATATTATAACACCCATTGTATAGAATTTCTCTACTACAGGTGAGAGTTTATAAGAGTTTTCCGGTTGTTAAGAATAATATAAAACAAAATTACTATTAGAATTTTTTATATTTCAAAGAATAAATCGATTAGAGATTTGATCTTTTATGATTTATCTTATGGGTAATAAATTTGTATAGATATTATCAGTAATAAAATCATGATTGGATTATTGTGATAGATATAATTAATGATTGATATTTGAGTTAAGTTTTATTGATTTTAGGTAAAGATCAAATTAAAATAGAATAACAAAAAAAAAAATGATATATATATGTTTAATATAGAATTTTCTTTTTTCGAATTCTACAAAAAGAAAAAACAACTTTATGATTTACATTCCATGTGTCGAATATTGATTATAATAATCATTGTGCAAAAAATGTTTTGCTATTCTTATAGAGTCAGATGAAATGTAATGAGATAAACATGTGTGTCATACAATTTTCTTGTAGCAAAATCATTGATGATGAATTAAGATGAGATAGACAAAATTAGTTAAAATAAATTAATTTTCATATCTAAACAAATCTATTGATCTTTCAAAGATTGATATTTAAGTCAGTTGTACCAAATTATAGACTAATGCTAGTTAGATTTTGGATTAATAGTATGCATCAATTGATTTGAATGAAAAAACTTCAATATATGTCTTTGGTTTTGAAAATATTCAATAACAACATACATAATATATTTCTTTTTTTTCTGATAGAATGATTTCTAATATAATTTTATATATTTAAAATATATAAGAAATATTGTTAAATTCTTTTCATTTACAATAGAATTAACTCTTATTTTTGTTTAATATTCGATTGAAAACTTTTTTCTTCTAGATCTAGATTATTTAATACATGAGTCCTCCACGACGAGAATCAGTCACTGATATAACATCATTCAATGATAATGATGAACAACAACCATTTACTTCTCCAATAGTATCAACAAATACATTGACATCACGTATTGATCGTCGTAAATCATCTATAGCAGCTATATTTGATGATAATCGTCGTCGTGATGAAATTTTATTAAAAACAAATCGACAAAATCTTCGTCGTTTATGGGATAAATATGATGTACCATATATAATTGGTGAAGAAATATTATATTCAAATCGTACAATATGTGAATTAATATTACTTATATGTTCATGGTGTATATTTGTTTTATTTTTTCCATTTTCTCTATTTCTTACACTTAAAGTTGTTCAAGAATATGAACGTGCTGTTGTTTTTCGTTTGGGTCGTTTAAGTCGTACGTCAGCTCATGGTCCTGGTATGTGTTTTGTATTACCATGTATTGATATAATACATCTTGTTGATATACGTACAGTATCATTTGATGTTCCACCACAAGAAGTTTTAACACGTGACAGTGTAACAGTAGCTGTTGATGCTGTTGTTTATTATCGTATATTTAATCCAACTGTATCTATTGCTAATGTTGAAAATGCACAAGAATCTACACATCTTTTAGCACAAACATCATTACGAAATGTTCTTGGTACACGTTTATTATCAGAATTATTATCTGATCGTGGTGCTGTATCAAATTTAATGCGTGAATGTTTAGATGATGCTACTGAAAGTTGGGGTATTAAAGTTGAAAGAGTTGAAATTAAAGATGTTCGATTACCTAAAAGTCTTCAACGTATTATGGCTGCTGAAGCTGAAGCAGCTCGAGAAGCCCGAGCAAAAGTAAAAAAAATAAAAATAAAAATAAAAAGAATAATGTTCAATTTTTCTTTTATTAGATTATTGTAAGTGAAGGAGAATTTAAATCATCACGTGCATTAAAAGATGCAGCTGATATTCTTGCTCAATCACCATGTGCTATGCAATTACGTTATTTACAAACATTAAATAATATAGCAACAGAACAAAATTCAACAATTATTTTTCCAATACCGGTTGATTTATTTTCATGTTTTCAAAAACATTCGAATTTAACTAAAATACCAAGTGATCCATTTATATTGACACCAACAAATTCAGATGATAATAATATAATTGTGACTGGAAAAACAACATCAACAGATATTTAGAAAACAAAAAAAGATTGTGTGCCGTGTAATATGATTTTGTTTTTCTTTTGTCTTGTCAATGTATATGTTTTAGTTGTAAAAAAAAATATAGAACAGTAAATATAATTTCTTGTAGAATAACACGAATACTACATACTAACAACATAAAACAACAAAACTTGTTAGTGTAGTCCCATGAGGACACACTATTAAAATGAGAATAGCAAGCAGAATGATTTCATTCTCCTAAATGTTTTCTTGTGTTCTGCTTTTCTCTCTGGAAATTTTTTTTGTTATGACTAGAAAATGTTTTTGATCTTTCTGTAGGATAGATTGACTATGTTAAAGTGAAGTTCTGTTTCCTATTTTGTGAAATACGATCTAAAATGAGTGTCGAACTGTATAGGATAGAAAATTACACATCCTTTCATCCTCTACACAATATGCATTTTTTTCGCATGGCCGGCGAACATGTGATTTTCTTGCTCAAATATGATGGGATATGATGTAGAAAAGCATTTTTCTTTAGAAACAAAAACAATTATTCAGAGTTGAAAGGTTATTTGACGAAAAATGTTTTAGGAAAATCCTTATCCTCATTTTTCAAAAAATCATTCTTGATTATATGTGGAGATATAGACTTCGACAGATTTATTCATAATAAGAGTTCAGTAATTTACTTTGTTTTTAAAACAGTAATTTGCCTCTATGTAATCATAATAATTTGTACCAATCGAGACAAACGTTTTTTAATGACAATACAATACTTGTTTACAAAAAAATAGCAAATGTCAACGTTTCTATAATTTGTTAGGCTAAATATAACTAATATACGTCTTGTACAATATCTCTCATGACTATATTATCATCTTGCAGTAGATTTCTTTTTTTGACGAAATTTTATTAAGTCAAATAAATAATTCGATTGAAAAGATGATATTGTATTTCTATTAATTAAATCTAATACCAAAAAGATGTTGATTTTCAATAATATGAAAATAACAAGAACCATAAAACACTTGATATGCTCTATAATCTGAATAGATTAAACAGTTATTTCTTCTGTACAATCAAGTTTCTAGAAAAACCATTGTATAAAGTTCTAAGGGAAATTTCTTATAGTTGTATTCAAAATTAGAATAGTCACTAATCAACAATCCACTAGATTTCGATGAGGAAGTGATTAATTTGTTGAAAACATTCTATGACGAAAAGAGTAATCCATGTGAATCTTATATGAAATATGGTGCAAAAAATAATTGTTTTTTGTTAATTTGATGCGATTTCTCCGCATGAAAACTCTATAATTAAAGTAGTAATAAATTGATTTCTAACGGCTTCAATTACATTGAAAGCCTAGAAATATCCTTCATATCGTTATTTTGAACTTGTATATACTTTTGTGATGGAACATGAAGCATAATCTTACCGTTAGTTTTTCTCTCTTTTGGTAACATCTCATTTGCTTCTTTGCATAGATCTATCAATACTACACGTTACGGTGGAGTATCGAAAACTCAGAATTGAAACTCAATTCAAAAACTATTTCTTTTCTTGACGTTAGATAAAGTGTTCATCGACAAATTCCACTCAATTGCTAACTCTGATTTAATAGGTAATCGAAAACTTTTTCTAACGAGTCGAAATCTATAATTTGGAATTTTATTCTCATTTTTTATACGACGTTAGAAATTTCGTCTCATTCTGTATTCAAGAGTAACGAGGCACTTTTTTAAAAATACGAAAAAAAAAAATTTTTAATTGTGAATCAACAGATTTTTATTTACCATATGATTCCTTTTTCAAACATTCTAACAATTCTTAAAATCGTTCTTTTTCTAGTGAACACTTTTCTACAAAATATTACATTGAACTAAACTGAAGCTTTTACCCAAGCATGTTTTCAATAACTCATGTTAATGTAAAACAGTTGTTCACTTTACGAAAAAATGAGATGCCTTGTTGAAAGACAAAAACAAACTCGAATTGTAATAGTGAAAATTAAAAAAAAATTTTAAGTGTTTGTTTTAAATCAAATTCTATGAACTATTTAAAAATTATCTACATCTTGTTTATCAATAGATTTTGACAATATTTTGTATGACAAGAACTATAAACGAATAATCCGATTATTTTTATTTTATAAATATATACACAAAAATTCGCAAAACAAAACTAGACTTATGATCAACATTTATACTACAATTAATAAATAGATACAAAGTATACGAAAACCGCATTAATCTAAGACATATTTTGTGTATTTTAAATTTATTTTTTTTGTTCATGATCATTCGTAGTACACAAACGTTTAACATGATCATTTCCATTTTCTTGATGTTTTTCTATACCATTAATAATAACAGTTGATTCTAGTTTTCTTTTTTGATTCATCATTAATTTTAAATTATCAGTTGATGAAAGTCCACCATTATTAACTAGATCAAAATTTGTATTATGACCATTATTGAACATACTATCCATAGCATCACGAAGACATGTACTAACATCATCATATAAGATAGATACGTTGTTTTGAGCCTAGATTAATATTAATCAAAAAAAAAAAAATTGTTTTTCATTATGAAATCTTTGAATTTGTGTTTCATTTAGAGAAAATTATATATAAACCATTTATAGAATATCCTAAAAATTTCAATAGAAAGGAATGTTTTTGTTTTTTTTTAATCGAGATATGGAATTTCCAAGTAAACTCGAGTTTCATATCGTGTCTATGAAAAATAATTTTTTGTTTTTTTCGAAATTCGATATCTAGCAAAAAAAACATTCTTTTTGACTGAAATTTTTAGGATATTCTACGAGTAATTTGATCTATCTCTGGAAAAAATTTCAGTAAAATGATTCCAACTTATCTTTGAAAACTTATGGAAATAAGCTCTGTTTGGCTACTACTACTACTAGTCTCATTAAAACATGCTTGTAAACTCAAACAGTGGTTTTTATTTCTGTTATCTGTAGATTAGTATGACTAATCGAGAATTATTATATTCAAGAGTTTTATTACAATCACTAATAACTGCGTCAGAATGGATTAAATACTTGAATCATCAAAGTTTTTATTCAATAGATAGTTTGTTCTTAAATCGCATATGTGCATATTAAGAATCTAGTTGATATATCTTTGAAAACGATGAGTGTAACCGAAATTCTCTATTTCAATATCTTCATCTTGATTAGGATCCGTTGGATTTGAATTGTTTTAGTCTCAGACTTGATGTTATTCCGATGATAGGAGATAATTTGTCTTGATTATTTATATTCTGTTACCAATAAATTTCTTAGATAATCTTATAATAACCGACTCATAATTGGCTGTGACTTTTAGAGTATGACTCATTGAGTTAATCCCAAATTTAGAGTTAGATTCATGAGAGAACTTCTTTGGCTATCCACTCTTCATGAAAAAGAGTCTATATGATAACGAGATTTTGTTTTTTCAAATCGAAAATATAAGTTTTCAAAAAAATCTGAGATCTCTAGGAAAATATTCGATATCTTAAATCATCTAAATCTTTTTCCTAGAATACTTTAGTATCAACAGGTAAAATATCATTGAAATTGATAGAAGTCAAGTGAAGAGGCTCTCTCTCGTTTGTGATCAACTCTAACTACTACAAGCTTCGAAAATACATATTTATTGATTCGATCAAAAATAAAACATTAATTTTTTTTCAGACATATTTATGCTCTTCTTTGAAATAACGATCGAATCGATTAAATAAAAGTATTCAAAACATACCATTTTGCTTGTGATCGAAATTAAGTATCTATAATCTAAAACGAAACGAAAAATATTATTAATATTTATTTCTTTGACATATAATAATAATTTTCTTTACAAAGAAAATAGAAATCTTTCAGCAAATGTCATATACAAATTGAGTTACAATTGAAAAATTCCATAAACTAGAATTATATCATAATTTGCATTAACGAAGTTATTTTATATTAAACAGCATGACTCTTTATTTCATGTAGATTATGATTCGATTATTAGAATTCATAATCGTTAAAATAAGAGAAGAAAAAAAAAATTGTGATTCCGTCATACTGTTGTATATATTATTTATTGTTAAATATGAATACGAAGCTTCTAGAAACTTCTTAATAACTATAACAGTATTATTTGAAGTAAAAGTCAACTTGCCCACTGGTTGCTAATCAAACGAAAAGACAAGAGAAAGAAAAAAAAAATCAAAGAACGAATGAAGTTGTCAAAAAAATATATATAGGCTAATAGAATTAACAAACAGATTAATCGATTATAGATGTCGCTACTTGATGTTTTAGAGATATCAGTCTTCTTCATTCATTAATTTAAAACATTGCGATATATAATTTTGAATACTTTGATTATGCATAAGAAAACGATACAAAATATTTAATTATACAAATAGAAAATATATGTTTATTTGACGAGAATACTCTCTAGACAGAACAAAATAAACAATGATGAGTAAATATCTTATCATTAGTAAAATAATTATATATTCAATTAGGATTTTTCAATAATTAATTTTAATTTAATGCTAATATTCTTTTACGTAAGGATTTCATAATGATGAGTTTATGACGAAGTGATTTACCACATGAGAAAAAAAAAGTAATGTACAGGATAGCTCATAAGTAACTAGAAGATTAAAAAAAATCAATATCTTCAGTCCACTATGGTGTGTTTTTATTACCTAATTATTTAATGGCTATCTTATATAAATGTTGACAAAAGAGACAAGCGTCATTTTTAAACTTGTATATTTGGTGAATAAGTAATGAATAATGTATAATAATTGTTTTACAGTATTAATAAATTTAGTTGTGATCTATTTCATCAAAAAACAAAAAAAGAATTCTTAATAAATAAAATGGACAGTCATCAGTTCAATGATAAGTTTTGATTGATCATAAGTGCATCTAGCATTTTGAATCAATAAATCACAGTTTAATATTTTCTTGTAAACTATAGAAAGATGATCGATTAGATGTAATGTGTTCTTCCTTCATTCATTTATTAAGTTACAACAGCAACATTTTATTAGTATTATTAGATAATCAATCCTACTTATCATACTTTTATCGTAATGATTATGCTAAAAGAAGAATTGATGTACGTTTCCTATGATTATTTCATGAAACCATTAGTGTGTTAATTTGAGATTTTTCTTATACTTTAAATATATTTTAAAAATGAAATAAATCGTCTAAAACATAATGATGTTTTATAGCTTGGATAATATACTGATATTGATCAAATTGCTATATTTTGTCAAAGACAAAATAGTAATAATACAGCTCTGTAAGATAACACACATACATCAAGAATGATCATTTGCTTATTCATCTAAGATACCTTTTTACCTCTTTGTCGCTCATCTCCAAATAGAAAGTCCATCTTCTGTAGGCATTTACATATAACTATAGGTACAAGTCGATGTATTAATCGGTGGCAGTGACTGGCTTAACCCTACCTTTTTCTTAGGTGACAACAACTGAAAGCTTTTGATGGCTCCTTTAAAAAATTTTTAATTTCGAGAAATTCTGAGATGAAACAAACAAATTTATGATATATTACACTACAAAATACTCAGGAAAAGATTATTCATTATATTATGGAATTAAATTTCATCATAGTGACTAATAAAAATATTGTCAGATGTTTGAAACCACAGAGCAAATTGATGAAGACTTGATGTGAAGAATTGTAATGAGAAATATTCAATAAGAATTTTTGCTATTTTTTTTTGTTGAGTAGGTGTGAGAGTTTGTTTGATTTTTATTCTTTTTGCATTTTTAAAACTCTACAATTGAACATTACTTTCTGTTTAAAAACATGATTCGATTGACTTCTACTAGCATTCAAAGACAAACATCCGATGTTTTTTTTTGTTTGATATAAACATTAAAGAAATACAACATTATTGTTTCATTCTGTAATAGGATTCATCAATAAATAGATTTGAAAACAAAAAGAAAGAAAAAAAAAATCAACAGTTACAATATAAAATCAATAAGATTTCTTTACTGTAGATAATACAATTGATGAAACTTTTCAGGTTTCAATATAATTCACCAGTAATGCAAGTTAGTCACAACATTTCATAAACAATCAATCTCTTGTTTATATATCATATTTCATTTTGTTTTCTTTACATGTTCTGTGAATAGTTTTGAGATACATATTCAATAATGAATAAAGCAACCATTGTTGAAAAACACAGTGTGGCTCGTATCGAATATGTACCACGATTATCACTCGCTAAAACAAAGGTAATTGCTTCAATCGTTAGTATAGTTTTCAAGAATTTATTAAATAGGTAAAACCATTGCATAATAAAGAACAATACTCCTCCATAGCGAACACAAATACAATCGTTCCTGAGAGTCTTCAAACGGTTTCACCAGAATGTATTTCAATAGATCAATCGAATCTAAGAAATATTGATAATAATACTGAAAGATTAAAAAGTGAAAAATTATCATCGCCAAATACTCCTAAATCTTCATTATCGTCAACTAATAACAAACAGGATTTAATAAAACAAACAAAGAATTTTCGACATCGTTTCATTGATTGGTTTAAGTAAGTCAGTAAATATTCATTTATTACATTCTAATAGTGTGAATAAATTGTACAGTAAAAAAGGATATAATAAAAACTGCTCTCATTTCAAATCAGAAGATTTGAACAATGTTTTCTCGTATATCAACATTTTGAATTCAATATCAAATGAAAACATCGTACAAAGTTCTTTTTTTTTATTTAAGTCTTTCATCTAACCCGAATGATGAGAAGATCTACGTGTATGACTAATCCTGTAAATAGAGAAGAGGAATGAAACAAAGATTTTTGACTTTAGCATCAAATATTGATTAAATATCGTATTTGACAAAGACCTGAGAAAAATAAATGTTTAAAACATAATTACATGATCTTTCCTTTTTTTTTTTTGACAATTCATTATTCTAATAACAAATCCATAATTTATACTCATCATACAAATAATTCATTGGTTTTTGCTTTATTTAGTTTTTTAACCTTCAGGCAAAAGATACTTTTCGGATTAATTATTCCAATTATAATAATCTCGATTCTTGCAGTTAGTATTATACCACCTTTCTATATATTCATCATTCGCAAAACTCGTTCTGAATGTAAGTAAATTATTAAAAAAAAAAATCATTCAATATGTTTTTGTCGAAAATTTACTTTAGCTTCATTTACTAATATAACTGCTTCAAGCTGTTCATCTTCAACATGTATTGGAAAAGAAACTCCCTATCGTACATCGATAGTTACAGCTCTCTATCCTTTTGATGGAAATACGAATGATCAAAGTGGATATTACACAGGAACGGCATTTGGTACATCCTCACCTTCTTTTTCATCACAGGCTTATGTAGGTCAGTCAATAAATTTAAATCCAAGTGCACAACAACAATATATTCAAATCTCAAATTTAAATTTGTCTAAACAAAGTTTTACGCTACAAACATGGATTTATCCAGGAACTAACCCTGCTTCAATTGATTTGGGGATATTTAGTCAATGTGATTCAAATTCGATTTGTTTGTCATTCAGTTTACGAAGTGGACGTTTTGTACTTTCATTTGATTCTATAAATGTTAATAACATTTCATTGACTGGTTCAACTATAATTAGTCAGAATCAGTGGATTCATGTAACAGTTGTTTATGATGCAGTTCTATTTCAACAACAGATCTATGTTGATGGTCAAATTGATGCTGTATCATATGGTATGATTAACTCTTATCAAGGTGATTTATCAAGTTCAACAACAACAACAATTGGAAGAAGTTCATCATATGCTCGTGGAACTACATATTTTCAAGGGTAAGAAATATTTATTCTTTATCAATTAGAAGTAGATTAATAATTTTTATATGTGAAAATATTGTCAATAATCATAGAATTAAAAATATTAAATATGTTTTCTTTCTTTTTTTTTGTTTGTAGAAGAATAGATCATTTCACAATATCAGCAGGTGTTGCTCGAAGTGCTTGTCAAATTTATAATGATGCATCATTAGTAGTATATTATCCATTTGATACAACTGGAGCATATAATGATCATAGTGTTAATCTCTGTAATGGTTTGGCATCTGGTACGACAATAGTATCTTCAGGTCGTATTAATGAAGCTATCTCCTTTACATCAAGTACAAGCTATTTTCAATCACAATGTTTTCCACCATTTCGTAACAACAATAGATTATTTTCTTTTTCACTTTGGATTAATCCAACATCTACTACAGGTGGTGGTACAATAGTACATTTATCTTCTAATTCATATGGTAATTCAACTTGTTATGATCCTCTTGTTTTTACAAGTACTGGGGCTTTAGTATGTCAGTGGATGACATCAGGACCAACTGTCAGTGGTGTTCAAGGTCCTTTAATACCAGCAAATACATGGACTCATGTAGCTGTTGTATACGGTTTTACAAATGGTGTACGTCTTTTTATTAATGGACAATTTAGTACTTCATCCACCAGTGGATCTCTCAGTTTATTGGACCCTAATACTAATATATGGTATATCACATTGGGTAATAAAAGTCCATTGGGATCATCAGCATCGGTTAACTGTCAAAGTGGTTCTATAACAATTTCATCAGGATCGTTTTTAGGTTCTATTGATGAATTTCGACTTTACAATCGAGAATTAAACAATCAAGAAATATGTGTACTTGCTAATTTATAAACTTGAAATGAAAAACGACGTTTTCATTCATAAAATATCACAGATTATTTATGTCATAGTTTGTTGTTTTTATCTTTAATTACTATTGACGTTAATTTTGAAATATAATAAAGAAAATTGATTTCTAAAAAATTTTCTGTATTTGAATAAAAGTCTTCATGTAAAAAGAGATCGTTGTAATGCAACGTTGTCTCTCAATAGACAGTTCGCAAAGCATTCGTTTCTCTATCGCATGACCAGGAATGTCTCTCTACTGATAAATTGCTTGTGAGTGGAAACTATGTGCATGGTATAGATTCAAAGGAGCTATAAGTATGTTGAAAATAGTTTCCGTCATTAACTTATTGCTGTGAAGATGCTACACTTTTACAAAGTTTTTAAAATAAATATCATTATCTCTCTCAAACATCAGGAAAACTGGTTTTTGAAACTTTGCATAGAGACAAATTTTAACGAGAACAGTTTATTGTGAGTCTTTCATATCTTGTTATTGTTTCTGTCTTTAGTGTATGATGACTTTTATGGGTATACCCTGAAAATCAATTAAGTATCAGTAAAAGAAATATGAGAGGTACTGCACGAACAAGTCCTCAAGCGATTCATGAGTTGACAAGTTTCTTTCATGAATACAAATTTTCGATAGATGTTTATCGATCCTGCCTCTATTCTTTTTATAAAACATTACTGCTTGCTTATATGCAATAGACAAATCAATACGCGTATTGAACTTAAATCAATAGAAGAAAAATAATAACAACATTCTTTATATTTCTATTGCACTTTTTACAGTATGGTAATCAGATGACTTATACAACAGAAGTTGAAAGAATACGGTCAAAAAAAATCTATTTGAAAAGCTTCACTAATCTAAAAAAACGTAGCTGTTTTTTTTGTGCGTAACTCATGATTATAATAATAACAGAAATTGTCATTGTTTTTATTATTTTCTTTTAATGTAATACATAATACATATGAAAAGCATGTATACGAATCTATTTTATTTATTATCTTGTTTTTAATCTAGTTATATTTAATTAGTAGAAGTTCGAAAGAATATCATGATAAAATAAATAGGTACAAAAACATCTGAATGAAATTCTATAAAAAAAAATCTAGGACTAGAAAAAGTCATCGGTATCATTTTCAAAATCAAGTGTCATATAACGATTTGTATTTAATTTTCTTTTAATGCCTTTTGATAATGAACGATTATCATTGTTAACAAGTATATCATTAGTTCGATCACGAAGTACATTTGGTGATGAGGACATAGATGGTTTAAATATTGAAGAAATACGTTTAGAATTTCTTGGAGATGATGGTGAAGGCGAACGAGATCGTTTATCATCATTGTTACCATTTGTCTAAAAAAAAGAATGTAATCAATTATGGATAGATCATAGTGAATAGCCGCTTTTTGCATGTCATCTTTGCATTATCTGATATGTTTTATTAAACAACAAATATTTCACAAAATGCACTGAAAAAAGTTCTATGATTTGCACAGAAAAACTTATTTTATCTACGCATATTTTTTTATGAAAACAATAAAAAACTTTTCGAGCAATTTTTGATGTTTTGAATAAGATCAGTTTCTGATAAATAGTTAAACATTAAGAAATATTGAGGTGGTGCACAAAGTACTTTATGTATTTCATAGAGAAACACAAAAGAGTCTCTATATATTTTATATCTTAAATTGTAGGTCTGCATTTTATGGATTCAAACACAATACATTTTAAGCACAATCGAATGGCCGATCATCATTGAATACTAGTCCCAAGTTCCATCGGGATTGGAACCATCTAGATCATATCTCCTGCGAACGAGTTTAGATAGATTTCATTTGATTTTTATTTTTCTTAATCGAATTGAAAAAAGAAATTTCAACCGATAAAACTCTTATATTAATCGATCAAAAAAAAAACGAAAATCAATCGAAATCTATCTGTAAAACTGACAAATCAGAATTGAATAATATCAAACTGTATTAGGTGGCATATGTGTTATGAAACTGAACAGTGTAACGAAAAATAATAATCGGTCTAACTCTAATATTGGTCAGCGGAGTATGGCATTCATGAAAGTTTATGTTAACAAATGATAATCTTCAAGACTTTGAAATATCAACGAACGCATTTTGATCTATTATTTAGCGAAGTTTTCTTATGAACTTAAAACAATGATAATAGATTATACTAACTAATTTCTTGATTAATTTTAAACATGTTTGTATTTGTTCTTCAATATTTTTTATTGAATTTGATATAATTAATGGTAAATTTGGATACTACAAAAAGATTTTATCGAAAAAAATAATAATTAGAAAAATCAACAAACTTGTCGAAGTTGAATAATTAAATCAAGAATAATTTGTAATTGTTCTTTATTCATATATTGAAATTGAAGATGTTTTATTGTATTTAAATAAGATTTTATAATAAATGTTGTACGATTATTCGTTGAATTATGAATTGATTCAAGAAGATTTACGGCAAGATGATAATGTGAATATTCTTCATTTGTTTTATCAATGGGTAAAGTTGGTAAAGAAAGTAATTCAATACAGAAATAACACATTGATTCAATTAAAATTGATTTATAAGCTATTGTACTATTATCTGATATAGAAGGTAAATAACGAGAAACAAGATCAAATGTTAATTCTTCAATAAGTAAAACATTAGAACTAAAATGTTAAACAAAAAAAGAAAAATAGCAGAATCACTGAGAAATTTGACTAACATTGATGAATGTATAAAAAAATAGAAGAAAGAAGTTATATCATCTCGTTGTTGTTGAGTAATAGATCGATATTCATTTGAAAAACGATAATCAAGTATAATTTTAAGTAAAGCAATATTTGGTTCAAGACGACAACTAAGAAATAATTTAATAAGACCAAATACAATAATAGTTTTTATTTCAATTTTCTACAACAACAACAACAAAAATTTTCAAAATAAAATTCAAATTAATTGATATATCAATTACTTGTTCATCAAACAGATTTAAAAAATATTGTGTTGTAAATTGAGAAGATGTTAAATTTGATAAAATATCAAGACCATGAACAAGAAGTACATCAATAAAAGTTGATATTGATTGACATTTTAATGAAATATGTTCGATTTTATTCTAAAATCAAATGTTTTTGTTTATAAAATTATGATTCCTTTAAAATTCTTTACTAAGTCAAAGCTTAATTTTCATTATAAGAAGTGTTGTGTCAATGTGCATTGGAAAAAAATTCTGGAAAATAGTTTTGCTATAGGAAAATATTTTCATATGAAAATTTGAATAAAAAAATTTATTACATATAGCAATAAGAGCATAAGATGCTGTGATTTATTTATCAATAGAAAATATTGAAATACTTTATTCTTTTATTTAAGTATAGTATACATTATTGTTTTGAATGACAATTTTTGATGATTAATATAGATTTTTTTTTCATATGTTAAATAAATCGATTTATCTCACATTTTCTTCAATGTCGATATGGTATCCGGCGTGAGGACTGAGAGTGCGACGTCTCTCCGAAAATTGGTTTGACCCTTCTGTAAAGAGAAAATCTTTATAAAACATTGTTTAATGCGAACCATAGGAAAACTGATATATTGATTATAGAGAATTGATTTTAACTATTATAAAAAAAACAACAACGTACGGTAATATTAATATTTTGTTTGATATATTCAATTGCTGCTTGTTGTGAATGACACATAAGAGATCGTAATGTTGATAAAGTATGAGATTGAATATCAATATCTTTATGTGACAAACCTGATTTGATCTGCAAAAAAAAACAAATTAAATCTTTATCTTTTTTTTTTCTTTTTATATTTTTAATTTACTAATGAATCAAGTAATTGTTTTAAATCTGTATTATTTAATTTAAGTTCTTTTTCTTGTTCAATAAATATTTTTGCTATAGTCATACATTGTATAAATGTTAATTCTTCAAATTGTTCATTTTGACAACGTTGAATAATATCATTTAATGTATATGTTATTAAATGATATCGTTCATGAATTGTATCTATTGATGGATAAATACGATGAATTAAATGAAGTGCTTGTTCAATTATTGTTTTATATTGTCCAAAATGTACAAGTATACAACGACCTATAGCTTCAATACATTTACGACGATAAATATCAAGCATATCAAATGTTGAAAGAATTGATGCATATTGACATATAATAAATTCTTCTATTGAAGATAAATTTTTATTAGTAGATGATTTTATTAAACGATAAAAAAATGAAATAAATTCATGAAAATCAGGATGAATATTTGTATTATCATCTTCTTCAGTCATTAATTGACATAAAATACGCCATATAAATAAATGTTCTATATAATTTGATACATTTGAAAGTAAAATACCACCTCTAAAACATAGAATTTTTTTCTTTCTAGTAAGAAAATTTCTATTTCAAAATTTATGTAACAGATGCATCGTCAAGCAGAACAATAGCAAAAAAAAGACATATTGTTTAATGAAACATTTTTAATATTTCATTATATAATACGTATTTTTCCGACTGTTTTAGTTATTCATCACTGGTATTACTGATTACAGATACAAACCGATAAGAATAATGAGAAAAGTAATAGTAAACCTTAGACATCTAAAATCAGCGTCTACGTAACACATCATGCTTTATTTCGATACCTTCTAGTTTCAATATTTTTCTTTTAGGGTTTTGTTCTCTTAGCTCATTGCTATAGAGATATTATATGTTGACGTTTCTTTTAAAAAAAACAAAGGAAGATCAAGATATTCATTAAAAAAATACTATTATCTCAGCATCAATAAAAATACGAACTCTTTTTAATGTATTCATAGATCATTACGATCTACATGAAGCACATAAAATTAAAATGAAACTGAGATATAATTTTATTTTTAAACTTACTTGTTTGTACCAATAGCTATTTTTGTATTATTAATAACAATTTGACGAATATTATTATCATCGAGAAAATATTGTAAACATGTTTCAATTGTTAAATTATTCTTATTTTCATTTAAAGATGATATTTTACATAATCGAAGAATATCAATAAGTTCATATCCATTTTGACTTATCCATTGAGTAAAAATAAGACGTGATAAATCACGAGATTTACTAGCAACTTGAAATATTATTAATCGACCATGAAAATCTAATTTATCAAGTGTAAAACCTCGTTCATAAGCTAATAAACTTTCAAAAGCTAATTGTGATAAATCATTATCAGTTTCAATTATTGAAAGAAGAAAATTTAGAGAAGAAGATGAATATTCAAGTAATGATATAATTTGACGTCGTCGATCTAAATATAAATTCCATTTTGGTAAATTTATTCGACGAAGAAAAGCTACAAAAGAAAAAGAAGAAGAAGAAGATTGATGTATTTTTTTTGTTCTTTCTATAAATAAGAATTACAAACCATCAATAAATTTATAATTTTTATGTTGAAATTTAGCAGCTAATGGTATAATTTCATCAAGAACAAGAAATGTTGTTTCATTATTAAGTAATTCTAATAAATATTGTTCAAATTGATCAGGTATATAAGGTGATCGAGATAGATCAATAAATGATTGAAGTTTATTTAAAATATAAAATGTTGTATAACGAATTTGACTATCAATAGCTATCATTGTCTAAAATAGTACCAAAAAAGATTAAAATTTTGATTTATCTTATTGTTTTTTTTTTTCTTTGTTAACCTGACTAAATATATCAATAAGAGCATCAAAAACAAGTGATAAATTTTTATTAGTTGTATAATTAATATGTGTAACATGTGTTAATGTAATTAAAAAATCTAATATTCGCATATTTTTATTTGTTTGTTGATGAATAAAAACAATTTTAACACATTCATTTAATGTATCTAACATATCTAATGTTATCTTAGAAGAAAAATTAAATTATTTTAAAATATATATATATATATTTTTTGCAAATAGAAAAAAAAAGATAAAATTTACTTTTGATGATGAAAATAATTCAATCATTGATGTTACTTGATCATGTATGTCATGACCTCGTTCAAATGTAAGACGCTCAAATATTCGAATTATTGGAGATATATTTTCTTCTTCTTCTATTTCTTGTATTTCTTCATTAATATCCATCTATATATATATAAAATAAGTTATATTCGAAAAGAAAAGAACCCTAACGAATGAACAAATAATTCAATATGAAAATAAGTAGATAATCGAATCTCGTAAATTTGAATATACGAATAAAGGCTATCGATAGATGACGCAATTTTCTTACAAGAATACTTTATAAGATTCAAGTAGTTAGCGTTCTATGATCAGTTAACAAAACATGTGGGTGCGTATGTGTGACAAGAAGATGCATAACGATATCCTACACTTGGCCACGCCCTGAAATCTTATTTCAAAAACGAAAAACGGTGAGCACTAAATTTGTAATTTCAAGAAACGGACTACTGTTATATTTAAAACATCTGAATTGGAATCAATCGTATCGAATAGTACAGTGTTTGTTCAAAAGTAGATTATTATTGTTGCTGATTTTTATTCAACATATTCTTGTTATAATTTTGGTAATCATTACATTTATACAAGATATTTCAGAACTGTTCGACACATGTTTCTTTTTGTATCAATCGCATTTGACAACTTTAGTAAAGACTATCATCACATTACTGAGATTATGGTATTATTGATAGAGCTTTTAGACTT